GGGGAATGGGTTTAAACTAAAAGAGGGCAGATGTAGACTAGAAATTAAGATGTTTTTCACTGAGGGTGCTGAGAAACTGGCCCAGATTGCCCAGGGAGGCTGTGGATGCCCCAGCACTGGGGGTGAAAGAGGGGGACAGATCATTATCAGGGAGTGTTGTGATAGGAGAAGGTGTAACAGTTTCACACTGAAAGAGTAGATTTAGATTAGATATAAGGAAGAAATTCTTCCCTGTGAGGGTGGTGAGCCCCTGGCCCACGTTGCCCAGAGAAGCTGTGGGTGCCCCATCCCTGGAACCATCCCAGGTGAGGCTGGACATGGCTCTGGGCAGTGCCGTCAGGATGACGATGTCAACGCCCGGGCAGGGGGGTGTGGACAAGGTGATCTTTAAGTTCCCTCCCAACCCAAATCATCCTCTGATTGTTTTGGGGCTTCTTCAGCAAGATTAGGAAAATCTCAAAAAATTAAAATAACAGAGCCTTGAAAAAATGAGGTCTAGTAAAGAATCAGAAAGCAATGAAGATTGATTTCAGTGGATTATTTATCATGGCAGTTGACAGTTGATCTCTGCCCCTGTGGCACAGCCTGGTTGCCCAGAACTGCCACTTCACATCCCCGTGTCAGATCCTGCCCTGCCTGCCACAGCCTGTCTGCTCTCATTTTTAACCTTCCTCTCTCCTCCAGGCCACCAAGAGCAAACCTGCTGAGGAGGGGGATGCCCCTGCAGCCAAGAGAGCCCCCATCTTCTATGGCAGCCTGGAGGAGAAGGAGAGGGAACGTCTGGCAAAAGGGGAGTCGGGGCTGCTGGGGAAGGAAGGGATGAAAGCTGCAATTGAGGCTGGAAACATCAACATCAGCAGTGGTGAGAACATCTAACCACCTTTTTTGTTTTCTCCTCGTGTGACACTTTCTAAAGTCTCTGCTTAACTTTGGGTTAATGTTATTGTGGTTGAAAGTAGAAAAGCTGAGAGCCTTGCCTGAACTGTTGGGTCGTTGTTGGGTGGGTTTGGTTCCTGTTGGGGATTGTCATGGAGGGGTGTTGGAAACCACTTAACTCCCCTGCTGTGGAATCCTGCTTTGGGATCCTGCTTGCTCTGGAATGAGTGGAACACACCCCACATGGGACAGAAAAGCAGCAATGTGTTTTATTGAGCTAGAATCATTATCTGACAGAGCTGAGTGAATTTAATGGAATTTACCAGTTTAACGTTGGTTTATTGAGGTCTGATTTGATTGAGGTTCACCTTAGTAATTACTGGGTGGCAGGAGCACACGAGGGAGCAGTGAGGGTGATTTCTGGAGAACAGGGGGGTGAGCCAGCTCTCAGGGGGGTGTGACAACACTCCCCATGCTCAGCAGGGTTAAAGCTTCCCCACAGCAAGACCCACACAGGACACACAGGACCATTCCTGAGATCAGACCACACACAGCAACACGCCCAGGCAGCCACACAGGTCAGGTCATGTGCTCAAAGGTGTTTCTACACAAACACAAAGGTCAAACCACCCACATGCACAGATGGAGATGTCACCCCACAGCCAGGACTTTCCTCCTGCACCTGCAGTCTGTAGTTACCAACACATTCTTGCTGCACTCATGGTAAATTCTGGTGAGTTATTGACCTCTCTCCAACACTTGCCAGTGGATAATCCTCTGTACCCCTGGAAGATCCACCCAGAGCTGGTCCTGGGGAGCTCCAGGGGCCTTGCTTGGGGCTGGGATTTATAGGTTAGGGTGTGTAGGGTCACAGGATGATAGCTGAGTTTGGTTGGTGCTTTTCCATTGTGGATGTTACTCCTGTCAGGCAATCTGAGCAGCCTGCAGGGTGGGCAGAGAGGAATCCTGGCCTGGATCAGCACTGGTGTGGCCAGCAGGACTAGGGCAGGGATTGTCCCCCTGGGTGGGGCACTGGGGAGGCTGCAGCTTGAATCCTGGGTTCAGTTTTGGATCCTTCACTCCCAGAAGGACCTTGAGGGGCTGGAGTGTGGCCATAGAAGGGAAGCTTCTCTGAAGAAGCTGGGGAAGGGTCTAGAGCCCAGGTCTAGTGAGGAGCAGCTGAGGGAGCTGGGGGTGCTGAGCCTGGAGCAAAGGAGGCTCAGGGGAGACCTTCTGGCTCTGCACAGCTCCTGACAGGAGCCTGGAGCCAGGGGGGGGTCGGGCTCTGCTCCCAGGGAACAAGTGTCAGGACAAGAGGAAAAGGTGGCAAGATGC